AGACTCATTAGACTCATTTCACATCACTCAATTATTAATCTAACACGTATAATAGTTTTATATATAAAAAAAAAAATAATAAAAATAAATAATTAATTAAATAAATAAAAAAATAAATGAATGAATAAATAAACAAACGAATAAATAAATAAACAAACGAATAAACAAAGAAACAAATAAATAAATAAATAAATAAATAAATGAATAAACAAAGAAACAAATAAATAAATAAATAATAAATAAAGGATTTGCTCCTCTAATGCTTTAAAAAAAGAATAGCAATGGGACACAAGCCCTAATTGTGGAAAGTGCCTGCTGAATTCTTTAGTGCGTAAGCATACCAGATAAACACCATGCCAAACACAGAAGAACCCTTGGGCTTTTTTTTTTTTCTAACATTCTTTTTTAATATTTTCAATCCTGCTTTTAGAGTCCGTAGCATGTAGATCCATGAACACATGAATATTTAAGAGTTCTTGAGTCAGACCTCAGCACAGGTCAAGAACGACCTGAACATTGCTGTTATTCTCCCAGAGGAGAAGAGCTCAAGTACGAGGCTGCAGGGGAGATCACAGGCCTATAATCCAGAGAGCAACGCAGCATCCCCTGAGCCATGCACACTATTTATGACTCCAGCGCTGCTTGACTTCTGAAGGGACATGATGCATAAACTCCCTGGAAAGAGCCCTGGCGCATTAAAATAAATGAATCCTGCCGTTTTGTGGGGAAATCTCATTAGAGTACATTAAGTAATTGCTGGAGTATATACTAATTTGACTATTAAGAGGATAAAATGTGCATTGCTCGGAAGCACTAAAATAGATTTAATAAAAATGGGAGATCAGCTGCTGCGAGGAGAAAAAAAAAAAAAGCCTGTGAATAGCTTTACAATGAATGAGGTTGTTTCCAGATATACAAGCCATAAAGCATAACGCTTGTGACTCCTCCATCAGACAGCAGAGAAGAAGCTTTGTTTCCATCTCTACGAATAAACTGTTAATGGCGCAGGATATTTACGCTGATGTACGGCTCTGTGCTAAACAGGCTCTTTAAAGGGCTAAATGTAAATTGAGCTGTAACTTTTGATCTGAGATTTCTTGCACATCTTTCTCTAACATCAGTCAGTTTAAGTTCTCCTGGGTTGTAGTCTGGTAGAGAAAACATGTGCTCATTACAGCTGCTACCTTTACTAATACAGCTGCCAGTAGACCTCTTTCCAATCCACTAGTTTTTAAAGCACTGCGAAATAAGGCTGTAATTAGCAACACAATTATAGAAATCCTTAGTGCATGGTTTGCATCAGGGCTTGTGTTGAAATTGTGTTTCTGAATGAATCTCGTACTGATAGTTTCTCCCTCCCATGTGATTTCTATATACATTTTAGTATTTTACATAGTTGCAAGCACTGTCAATTTTATTTTATTTATTTAATATCAAAGTACTTAGTGCGGCACAGGACAAGTTTTAAATTGTGGGTGCAGAAATATAAATATCTAAAAATAAAATAAGAGTTACTCAAAATGTTATGTTTTAATTTACTGAATGTTATTTGTCTATTTATCATATTGTTCCAAACCCATAAGAGTTTAATTCATCGTCAAACAATAAATGAAAACATTTTTTAATGAAACCTGAGAGATTTCTGTCCATCCAGTGAAAGTCCAGGTAACCAAAACTTTAAGACATACAAAAATATGAACTGAGCGGTTTAATCAATTTATTGTAATCCATTTATTATTAATAGAACAGCATTTATTCAAAATGTAAATCTTTCCTAACAATATAAATATTTGCTAAAACATCCTTGCTGAATAAAAGTTTTAATTTCTTTCAAAAAAAGAAAGAATACAAATTTACTGACCCCGAACTTTTGAATGGTAGTGTATATTGTTAGAAAATATTTCTATTTTATCTTCTTAACTTTTTATTCATCAAATAATCCTGCAAAAAAAGTATCACAGGTTCCAAAAAAAATATTAAGCAGCGCAACAGTTTCAACACTGATAATAAATCAGCATATTAGAATGATTTCTGAAGGATCATGTGACACTGAAGACTGGACTAATGATGCTGAAAATTCAGCTTTGCATCACAGGAATAAATGAGATATTACTGTATATTAAAATAGAAAACCGTTATTTTACATCATAATAATATTTCACAATATTGCATTTTTTCCTGTATTTTTGATCATATAAATGCAGCCTTGATGAGCAGAAGAAACTCCTTTAAAAAAAAACATTACAAATCGTTCTGATCCCAAACTGTTGACCGGTAGTGTATATATACAATTTATTTATTTATTTTTCAAATGGATTATGAAAACTTAAATACAAGGAGCTCTAAAACATTTTTAGAATTTTTACAACTCATTTGCTACAAATGTTAAATCTCCAAATAAAATGTTAAGGTTACCACTGCATCTGTCTGATGGAAAGAAAAAAAAAATGCAGTTTTTAAAAAAAAATGTATTGTTATTTTTAAAGCTTTCAATGCTATTTGAACCTAAATATATATATATAAAAAAAAAAATAAATAAATAAATAAAAAAAAATAATAATATATATATAATTAAGTTCTAACAAGTAAGTTTTTGCTCAAAACTAACCAAAGTGAAAACAAACAAACAAACGAACAGAAAAAAAAAAGCTGAAGGATCATGTGACACTGAAGACTGGACTAATGATGCTGAAAATTCAGCTTTGCATCACAGGAATAAATGAGATATTACTGTATATTAAAATAGAAAACCGTTATTTTACATCATAATAATATTTCACAATATTGCATTTTTTCCTGTATTTTTGATCATATAAATGCAGCCTTGATGAGCAGAAGAAACTCCTTTAAAAAAAAACATTACAAATCGTTCTGATCCCAAACTGTTGACCGGTAGTGTATATATACAATTTATTTATTTATTTTTCAAATGGATTATGAAAACTTAAATACAAGGAGCTCTAAAA